TCCACAAAATGGCAAATTTTTTTATAAAAGACTAAAATTGTCCAAGCCAAATCGTAATGCCTGTTTTAGCACATCTTACCAATAGGCTTCTCTTTTCAACATAGATAAAGATTTTTTATGACTTTTAAATATATTAATTAATAGTGAGATTTGAGATTACACATACACATATAATCTTCTTTTATATTAATAATGAGATGTGTAATTTCTAACTAATTTTTTATTTGAATTATTTTTTTTATTCGAATTATTTTATCAAATTAATTATGTTTCATATTTTGTTTTGAAAATTTTAATATGTTTTGTTTTTCGCCTATATCCAACAATATTTATGCCTATATTTTTAAGTTTTCATTTTTTTTATCAAATAATCTCTTTTGTTTTAATGTGTTTCGCCCCCAATGAAAACAATTTATGAATCCGCCACTGTTCATTGATCAATATCTGATTGCAATAATTAAATATATCTCGTTGTTTATACTTTTTTAAAATTTAAGGCGTGGGGGCATTTGAGTAATTTTCCACGTTATTTCCTTGCATGGGGTTTGAGTTAATACCCAAAATCGTCTTCGACTATAGTGGTTTTTCTCAATTTTGTCCTAAACGACTTTGGTGACTTAACGTAGTCCCAGAGTTTTGTGTTTTTACTCAATTTTGTCCCATACTTTTGTGTTTTTGTTCAATTTAGTCCCCCATTTGTTATTCCGTCCATTTGTTGTTAAATAAATAGACAATTCAGTAATTTTAATATTGGCATCTCTTTATTCATAGACATGTGAAGTACGAAATCCCTCTTTTTTTACGAATTAATCCCAGAATCACTTCTAAAGCTGCGAATATAAAATTTGATTCGTAGGTTCGAGAGTAACTCTAGGTGTAATTCGTGTAAGAAAGAGAGATTTCTCACTTTGCAGGTTGAAAGTAAAGAGAGATCAATATTGATATTATTGAATTGTCCCTTTATTTAACACCAATTTGACAGAATAACAAACGGGGGACTAAATTGAGCGAAACACAAAAGTCTGGGACTATATTAGGTCACCAAAGTCGTTTAGGACAAAATTGAGAAAAACCACTATAGTCGAGGACAATTTTGTGTATGAGTTTTTTTCACTTTTGGTCCCTTGACTTTATTTGTGCTGACAAATGTGATTCATGACTTTTATTTCAGACAAAATTAGTGCCTAACTTCAATTTCTTTTCCACATTTGGTCCCATCCGACCAAGAATCCGGCCAACCCACCGGAAATTTACACATCTCTTGTTTTTCTAAGGGTAAATTAGTCTTTTCTTGCCATGTAAAATAATAAAAACTAAGAGATATTTAATTGCTTCATTGTTGTCTTTGCTCGGTGGCGGCCTCTGAGCTTTGAACTTTTTGGTCCCATCGGACCTTCGCTACGTACACCTCCGTGCACTCGATCTTCCGTCAGTCCGCAGCACTCGCATTTCGCGAACAACATCACTTCGTTCATCTTCACCGTCGTCGCTGTCGCCGCCGCTCCGTTTCCCTGCGTTGCCGCCTCCTTCCTCATCATCATCGTTCGCAGCCATTCTCGGTGAATTCTAAATCCAAACCGCTCTTTCGAAATTTACGCACTGCATAACAGCATAGAGTATTCAAAAATCAAACACAAAATCAGAATCCTCTGATAAATTCCACGAATCAAATATATATCCCGTAAACCTACACTATAAACTTCTCAAATCTACGTGCAAGTTTACACTATATCTGCAAAATTACATTATACATATATTTATCAGACAATCTGGAGAGAATTTGCAGCAACGATCCTCGTTTTCTGTTTGAAAATTATCTTTTTTTTCTCCCACTTGCCTTCTTCTTCAACAATCTCGCCGCCGATAATCAGGAGCTTGAAGATCATATACATTTCAGAGAGCCCTGTATGGCTTCTCGCGATGACTCTACACCACCGAACAAAGCTTTTTTCTATCACCATCGTCGAGCAGACGCAAATATCAGTTAGCAGAGAAGCTTCGGGAAGAAACTGGCAGTGACATTGATTTATTGGATGAGGATGGAGGTATAAATAAATAAATAATAGGAAGCAACTTTAATTTGACGAGAATGAAGCAATTAAATATTTCTTAGTTTTTACTACGTATTATTTTACAAGGGCAAGAAAAGACTAATTTACCCTTAGAAAAACAAGAGATGTGTAAATTTCCGGTGGGTTGGCCGGATTCTTGGTCGGATGGGACCAAATGTGGAAAAGAAATTAAACTTAGGCACTAATTTTGTCAGAAATAAAAGTCATGCATCACATTTGTCCGCATAAGTAAAGTCAAGGGACTAAAAGTGGAAAAAACTCTTTTGGGTATTAACTCCATTGGGTTTCCTTAAACATTATGCACTGTGATTTTAAGGAAATTTATCCAGTAATTTTTTTTGTTTCTGTCTGCCTTCGTTCTCTGTTTGAGTTTTCTGTTATTGGTTGTCATTATTCGGCATGGCGCCTGTTTTTTGTTTTGTTTTGTTTTTTTTTCTTTGTTCTTTTTCCGATCCGTTGGAGTCCGAATTCGGGGTGTGTTTGTTGATGAATCATTGAATTTAAATTTTGAGTGTGTTATTTTTTGGGCTTGTGCTTTCATCTATGTATTATCTACCCGGTGGGAGCGTGGACAAATTATATTGTGCACCGCAGTGCATAATCGATTATGCACCGCGCATCAAAACGACGTCGTTTTGTTAAATGAAAAGAAACGGCATTCGTTTTTCGCCGTTTCGCACCATTTCACAAAAAAAGTAACTTTGTTATTCAGTTTCATTTTGTATACACTGCAGTTTCAATTCAACACAACTACAGTTTCATTTCGATATAACTACAGTTTCATTCAATATTTATAGGCTCAAATATGTGAAAATGTTATTTAATTTTATTTTATACACACTATAGTTTTATTAAAACACAACTACATGATCATTTTGATATAATTACAGCTTCATTGTGCAATATACACTCAAATATGTGAAATGTTATTCAGTTTCATTTTATATACACTGTAGTTTCATTTCACCACAACTACAATATCATTTTGATATAAGTGCAGTTTCATTTGATAATATAAAAATAATACGTGATGCAGTGTCGGTTTAGATGTACTATAGTGTCAGTTGGTGTTTAATACACCAAACATGCGGACTCCGTTAACGGTAACGACGGGCCGTTTCTTTACTTAAAGAAACGTCGCCGTTTTTTACCGTGAGGCAATTCGGTTCGGTTCGGTTCGGTTTTCTCGAAACGAACTGTATCGAACCAAACTAGTAATATACCAAACAATCGAACGATAATGAATATATGTTCAGTGCACTGAAAAATAATATCTAAGTGCACTAGCAATGATGGATTGCGTCAAAAAATTAAATATACAATACTTGACACTTGTTCTCCAAATATTAACTATACAGATACACGATTCTTCATCTTGTCAATAAAACATTCCAAATATGTGAACCAATTGAATAGTCGGTTGTGCAAAAAAGCCAATTGATGTTTGGTAATTAGTACTTAGTAGTGTGTTTGAACTTTGGATTGCTATTTTGTTATATAATGTTTAGACGTTGGATTTGGACTATGTGAATATGTATTGTTTGTTAGTGTGTTTGTAAAATTAAGAAATATTAAAATTTGGGGTTCTTAAATCGAATCGAACCAATTCCAAACCGAAACCGAACTCTTTCAAACCGAACCGAACTATAATGTTAAACCAAATAGTATCAATTTTTAATACCAAAATACCAAAACCGAAAAAAACTGAACCAGAACCCAAAACGCCCACCCCTACATGAAGTTTGTGTTTCGTGAGAATTTGTTTTGTTGATCCAGAACTAAATCATAGTTTTTTTTTTTTTCTTCAACAAATAAATTTAAAACATGTGACAAGACTTTTACTCTTTGAAAATACACTTATTAGTTTCAATCATTATATCATAAACCGCGCGGGGCATTGCTACACATTTCCGAGGTTTACTACTTCTTTCCCGACTTTTCTAGCACTTCCACATAGCATCCTATAGTTGGTAGAATATTCTAGAAGCATGTATATAACACTAGTATTGTAGTTGTAGAGATCCTTAATATATTCTAGAACCCTATAGAATCCTCTTAGTTGTGTAGGGATTCTTGGAGGATAGAGAACAAATCTTAGTCATAGGATCAAATAGATCTCCACCATCCATTGAGGAGGTGGAATTGATATAAATACCCCTAAAGGGGCCTCATTTGTAACAAGTCCAAGTAATCCATAAGTTGAAGTAATCAAAGTTCCTTACAATTCAAAGTTTTTGAGTTATTTTTTTGAAGGTTTATCTTTTGTGTACCGATGATTCATTTTTTAAGTATATTATAAAAACAAATTTTTAGTATATTAAAAATGAAAATTCAATATACTAAAATTAAACATTCATTCATGATATACATTGCAATTCCATGATCCAATGTATAACTTGCATACTATTTCCTGTAACAATAATCCCTTCCTAAAATGTTATGCAATTTTTAAAACCAACAAAAAAATAGTAACTGTATTTTCCTAGAAATTAATTAAACCCAAGAAAATAAAAAGACAATGAGGTATCACACAAGGCTAGCTAACATCGAGCCAAGACCACCATTGCAGGCTATACTAACAAACATCTATACATACATTATGCATATGATAAGCACTAGAAAAGAAAATGGACAATTAACACTGTTCTCCGATGTTTCATCAGCCTAACAAAGTTTTGTTCCTATGATAGCGTAACACATTTTTTTTTTCTGTACATTGTTCCTCATTCATCTCCTCCTGGAACAACAGTATCTTGTTTTTGGCAGCTAGCAGTTGCTTTACTATTCAAAATTTGCATTGGATCAAAACCAATACCTCAAAAATTACACCAGCTAGCTCTTCCTCACTATATGGGAGAGCTTAAAAGGTGACTTCTTAGCCAATCTTTTGATGCCAAAAAGTAACTCTAAATCTCAAATTTTGCTTGATTGAGCAGTGAAGGCTGATAAACTTCCGGCGAAATGAACTTTCCTATTAGCAACAAGGGAAGCAAGAATACCACTTCTTTTGAGCCGTGGCCTCGGGTTCTAATTGTGGAGATGGTTCTGCCTCCTTCATCGGCGGCGATGGTGGTGAGGGTGGTTCTGGGAATTTTGCAGAGCAACCAAGCTTTCCCTTAGAATCTTCGCCTGCCAAACTTCATTTCATTCAAACAGATTTAGCCATATCTTACTCAAAACTCAAAAGCTAGGCAGAAAAACAGAACCCGGACATTAATAACAGATTATTATGCAAATATTCTTATTTTACTAACTAGATATGCATACACCCCATCTATCAATTAAAATTAGCGCCAATGCCCATCTCCATAAGTCATTCCAAGAATTATTGCTTTGTTATACAAGTTCTATTAAGGTAAATGGACCACCTTGTATGAACAAGATTGAGAAAGTATAGAACAGATACTACCTTGTAAAGAATCAGAGGGTTTTAAAAAAAAAAAAAAAAACAAAAAACAAAAAACTTGTGTTTGTTCCTGTGATGTGTTATTGCATGGACACTAAAGAGTTTTAGATTTTTCAACATGGCCACTTACATTGGAAACGCGAAGGATTTCACACTGGCATTACTTCCCCTCCCCTCGGCAAGAGATCTCTCATTACTGTGATCTTCACTTTCCCTTGGGTCCTCTTCCAAGGCATCAAGACATGCTTCCACTTCTCTTATTTTAAAACTAGGGCGATTAGAAACCTGGCGTGTGTTGACTGGATGGCCTATAGAATCACGCTCATCAGAGCACCAAGGACCATAATCCCCGGTAGTACTGGCACTCCCTATGTTGATACTGAATAATGATTCACTGGAGGCTGTACTCCATAGTACTGGGTCCGAAGAATGGTCTAGTTCAAACACAGAAGAAGGTATCCTATTCGACGCGTTCATAGAACGATCCATTACCTGCATTGTGGGCGGTTTCTGCGATTAACAAGTTGGTAGCAGAGCTTAAGCTGGATAAATTAGGACTGGCTGCAGATGAAGTGGAAATGTCGGGTTCATAATCATCCTCTGCAGATAGAATAACAAACGGATCATTTGGAGAAGAGGAACAAGATGGCAAGACATTCAATTCCTTTCTTGGGGAAAGAACATCAACTCCTTCAACAGGAGCCTGCAAATTTCCACCATTTAATTTGATTCATCCTGTGAAGGTTGGATCCCATTCCACATCAATTTACCGGGCCTACTGGCACCTCTGAGCTATCCCAAAGCGATGCATAATTTTTCAAGACTCAAATGCACTATCTATCAACTATTGCAGCAGTGAACTGTGCTATCAACTATTATATGTAGTTTTTCAATGCTCTCCATCCAGATTGCTAATACATTCTGGACGAAAACATTTTTAGTCCTCTAGTTATAGAGAACATATTATGATATTAAGTCCTCAGTGTGGATTTCAGCCCTGCACTATGCTTACTTCTCAGTAGATCAAACACACTTAACCACAAAGTTCTTTGGTTATTTGACTGTAATATCTTTCTTAAAACCAATTGGTGATAAATATGTAGACATTAACCATTTCACCACATCCCCATGGTAAGCCACAGCGTCCCGTCTCGAATCGAGCAGGGGCTAAACTCGGCTGATGCCAACACTCAGTTACCAATCTAGTCCCCACCTATGCTACTATTGCAATATCTTTAAGCATCCAATTGAATACAAATTCCATTGTTGTTGTTCAAGATAGCCTCAAAGGACACAAAACTAAATGAATATGCCTATTACAACAATTTAAAACTAAATACAATGCCACAAACAACCAACAACAAATTATCCTAATACCAAGGGTTCAGACTTCAACCAACTGCATAATGCCTTTGAGGATAAATTAATTTAATTTATTGCCTTTAAAATTAATTTCCATGAAGCAATCTCAACTAAGAACAATGTTCCTAATGCAGTAAATAGTTTGATGATGTTCATATAATTATACAGAGCAATATATATAATTGAATAAAGGGAATTTAAAATGCATTATATTGGTGGGTAAATGAAAAATAAAATAAAAAATACCGTGGAGGGCGGCGATGGGGACAGGGTCGCCGGCACCGGAAGGTGGCCTGAAAGATGAGCGGACGACCCGTGTATCGCCGCCAGCCGGCCACCTATTTCCTAGATTGTTAGCGGAAATGTACGACGGAAGTGGTTTGCATATACAGCAATTACAACCCACCCAGCAATTCAGCAAACAATGAGAATACAATTCTCCATAGCCGAAAAACTTGTTCACTTCTTTCTTTGCCTTTAAACCGAACTTGGCGGCGCGCCACTCTCTCTTTCTTCATTTTTTTTTTTAAATAAAATCTTTATCAATCTTACTTTCGTATACCAAAAAATCAAGAATTCTATTTTTATCAATACTTTCTTGATTTTTCCCTATTACAATTTACCTATTTTTGTGTGGGTTGTAAACTATTACATAAAAATGAGGATTTTCTGAATACTCAAAAAACTTATATCAATATTTTATACAAAATTCTCCAAAATATATCATGTGATTTGGAATAGACAATTGGACCATCAAATGTAATATAATGCTTTGGATTTGTGTAAAATGAGAAAATTGAATTTGAATAAATTGAATAAAATTAGAAATGAGTCTTATAAAAAATACAAAAACTTATAAAACCCCATACATAACATATCAGGTCAAACCGTTAAACAGTAACATTAAAGTTTGATACAAAATTGCAGCTAAACGTTTTATTAAGGCTGCCTACGTATTTCAGATTGTGTCTGGGATCAAGCAGCACGTGGTTCTTTAGTTACATATATAAAATTACAAGGATGGATTTGTGTAAAATGAGAAATTTGAATTTGAATAAATTGAATGAAATTAGAAATGAGGCTTATGAAAATGTAAAAATTCATAAAAAGCACATATATACACTAGGTATGTAATAGTGTTGATAATTGTCCTGTCTTGGGGTGACTACTCGCTAATCCCCGCAAACTTTTGTAGAAATAGTTTTAAAATGAGAAAATTGAATTTGAATAAATTGAATAAAATTAGAAATAAGGCTTATAAAAAATACAAAAATTTATAAAACCTTATACATAACATAACAGGTCTTTAATAGGTCAAACCGTTAAACAGTAACATTAAAATTTGTTATAAAATCCCAGCTGAACCTTTTATTAAGGCTGCCTACGTACTCCAGATTATATCTGGGATCAAGCCGCACGTAGTTCTTGAGTACATACATGGAGGGATTGGATGGATCAAATGTGTGCAGGTTTTGAATATAAAGAGTAGTTTAGTATGTTTTTAGTGCTTATTTATTTATTTATTTATTTATTTATTTATGGGGGTGGTTTGGTATTTTTTAGTGCATTTAAAATCTTTTAGTTATTATTTTTGGGAGTTATGCATGATTGGATGAGTCGTATTTTTGGTATATTGAGGTTCTACCACCTTTGTTTCATACGTCATTCTCTAATGTTGACATTGTGTCATTTCAGTAGACACGAACACGTCTCTATGCTACGGTGAGATAGATTCAATTTTTTCGATAAGCGGCAATTTTTATGGCATTCGAGTCTATTTGATCGTTTGCATAACTTACATTGGTATGTAACAATATGCACTTCAATCTCTCTCCCTATTTTTGCCTCGAAAATTCTAACCAAAGCCTTCATTTACTTATAGCAACTCTACCAATAACTCAAACAATAAACATTATATTGATGTTCCTACATACGCTTAATATAATGATGAAAACCAAAAAGAGTGGAAAGACGCTATTCTCCTACACATGGAGATGTTAGAGTTTTGATTTTGCTATTCTCAATGAGGAGCCTCCGGCTATCACTACACACAGCACTGAGGCTGCTAAATTGAAGGCACATAATTTGTTAACTACAAGCACATATTACATAATATGTTAACTGTACTATAGGTACATAATATGTAGTTAACATATTATGTGTATGTAATTAAAAAATTATGTATATTGTAATTAATTATAAGCACATATCACAAGCATTCAACTCGATTATTGTATAACGCCCATTTCCAAAACTCCTCCGACAACCATCCCGCAACAAGTTCTGAACCTCCAACATTCCCCTCAAAATGTATGAAGGATTACTACCTTCCTTTGCTTCAAAGTAGTTGCCATTGGGGTACCTTCGGCCTTTTTGAGTGGACTAAGTCCGCTAGAACACAAACTGTCGTCGGGTTGCCAAGTCCCTGGTAATTCCATGTACAGAGACTCATGATGTTGCCATAGAGACCACGCCTCTACCCCATTTTTTTTGGCCGAAGATTCATATTTCATCGTAGCAGACGGTTCAACCACTTCAGCCGCATTCTGATAAGTGCCAAAGATGCTACATTTTGTGAGGTATTTTGAAGGCATATTGTGCTATAATTGGAGCCCTTTGAGCCTATTATATGTTTAGAATTACTTACGTTGATAAAAGATAGGAGCAAGGAGTCAAGGACTAATTGTGGTTGTCTTTGTAGAAAAGAGCAAAACATTGTCATTTACAGGGCATTTCGGCGACAGTTCGGTAAGTGGAGAAAAGACTTATCCTCGCTCTAGAAATGAATCTACAAATGTCTTAAATAGCCATCCCGTCATAAATTCCGCACAATGACACTCTACGCAGATGAAATAATTCTATCCAGGAGAGATTTGAATCGGTTGGCACATACCTCTTGCAACTTTATATAACACGTTGCACAGTGCTATAGGTCGCAGGTCAATCATAGTCTCCGGTTTAGTTTTTTTTTTGGGATCAAGACAATGTACGTATCATTAGCCCTTGCTGGAAGCTTGATTGTGTCCATAAACGATCTACAGAAATCAGTCACAACACCCCTAACAATATCCCAATAATGCTGAAAGAAACCCGGCCCCATACCATCCGGCCCAGGCGATTTGTCAAAGTGCATTTGAGTCACAACCGTATGGACCTCTTCAGAGCTGGGTGGACTGAGAAGCTGTTCATTATCCTGATAGGTCACCCTAGGAAAAATACAATCAACCACATCATTCAAATACCCTTGTTCCGACTTGTATAGGGTAGCAAAATAATCTACCATTATTCCTTCAATCGCACTTTCCTCTTCAGTCAAACCCCTTCAGCATTCGTCAACCCATGCAGCCTATTTCTTCATTTTTTTGCCTTAAAAGAATTGTGAAAAAAAATTACTATTAAGATCTCCTTCTTTGTACCAACGTTCCTTGGCGCACTGCTTCCAAAATGTATGTTGTTGCTCTAGCAAAACCAAGTATTTCTTCTCGACACAAGCATATTCCATCAGGCTAACATCATCACATCTAGGTCTCAAAACATTCAGACGATGCTTGCATTTTTCAATTCGTACTTGGAAATCCTTATTATATGTGCGTCCCCACCTCCATATAACCCTGCTGCAACATTCGATTCTCGTTAACACATTAAAGCCTGCCGAACAACCCCAACTCTGTGATGCAATCTCGCGACATCGGTCTTCCCGTAGCCACATATTATCAAAAAAAAGTGCTTCCGAACTACTCTGTGGTTGCTTGTAGCCGGGGTAAGCAGTAGCGGTAGGTGATCGCTTTATGGGCACATCAAGGAGATCATCGTTGCACTATCATTCTATCAAACATTGTCAGCCTGGACTCAGTTTTTAAATTCTATCCAGCTTCTCTTCAACCATATTGAGCGTACCTCGAAATCTTTATCACGTGAACTGATGGCCATTAAACGGAAAATCAATCAACCCACAGTCTGCAATAGTGTCTCTAAACCCCGTAATCAGCCATTCCAGGTGAGGAATACGCCCTCTCTTCTCAGACTAGTGGAGCAAGTCATTATAGTCGCCCATGACTACCCAAGGTAACTCACTGTGTGCGGCCAAGGTGCGCAGCATACGCCATGAGTCCTGTCGCCTTTGTCGTTCAGGGAAGCCATAAAATCCCGTGAAACGCCAATATGGTCTACCAACATCTAGAGCTAGCTTTGTGTCAATGTTGTTGGCTGAGTATCCAGTGACTTCGAGCATCACCATATTCGACCAGTGGAGCGCCAACCCTCCCCTATGGCCAACGGCATCCAGCGCAAATAGGTTCTCATAGCCCAATTGAACTCTCACTACCTCCATCTTATTTTTGTCTACAAACGTTTCCATAAGAAAAAGTACCTTTGCCCTCTTTGCGTGGACTAAGTCCGCTAGAACTCAAACTACCGTCGGGTTTCCAAGTCCCTGGTAATTCCATGTACAGAGACTCATGATGTTGCCACAGAGACCACGGAATTTGATGTTGCCAACACCCCGCCTCTACCCCATTTTTTTTGGCCGAAGATTCATATTCCATCGCAGCAGACGGTTCAACCACTTCGGCCGCATTCTGATAAGTGCCAAAGATGCTACATTTTGTGAGGTATTTGGAAGGCATATTGTGCTATAATTGGAGTCCTTTGAGCCTATTATATGTTCAGAATGACTTACTTTGATAAAAGATAGGAGCAAGGAGTCAAAGACTAATTGTGGTTGCCTTTGTAGAAAAGAGCAAAACATTGTCATTTACAAGGCATTCCGGCGACAGTTCGGTAAGTGGAGAAAAGACTTATCCTCGCTCTAGAAATGAATCTACAAATTTCTTAAATAGCCATCCCTTCATAACTTCCGCACAAGGTCACAACGCATGGCACAACACACCGGACAACGTGCGTTGTGCGTTTAAGTTCTTGATCTACGAATTCTGCGACGTGCGTTGTGCTCCCCGTGGATCTTTCTGTTTCTTCATAACGCACGTCACGACGTGCGTTGTGCTACTCGTGGATCTTTCTGCTTCTCCACAACAGATGTCACAACGTGCGTTGTGCCTCCTGTCTTGGCATCGGCTTGTCTCCTTTTCCCGCTTTGTTCCGTCCTAGGCCACTTTGCCTCATTTTCATCCAAATTACCCTACAAAATCATAAAATACAAAGTGTGGTGATATTTTATAGCACAATGCACAAACTTAGCTTAAATGGCCTAAACATGGTACACAAAGGATCATAATTAGCTCAAAATGTACCTAAACGAGACCCTAAAACTAGGTGTCTTTGACACCTATTATATGTCAAAGTCTCATCAAAGTTGCAATTGCCCATAACCAAGTATGAGAGTCTAAGAATGGAAGAAACTAAGTCAGTCTCTGAGTCCAGTGCAAGGATAAAGAACTT